TTTCATTGAAGTAACACAGGAACTTATTTTCTGCAATATTCTCTGATAAACATCTTTAATGAAGATTATCACTGCTGGAAGGAATATACTTACTGTTTTAAGCAATGTGGAAATATTCATGTTATGTCCAGGTTGGTGTCCAATGGTTGAGATAAACACTCATTACTTTCTTACAAAAAAAATCTTTACCTTATGACCTGAGATCCGTTGTTGTAGGTTAGATTAGGTTAGTTATCGTCATATCGGCCACTCACCGAGACTCCAGGTACAGTACTGACACTCACACAGCCTCGGCCACAGTACTGTCGTTCCTCCTCCTGTCTATTTATATCATGGTGATGTATTTATATATAATACTTTTTGTTCTTCAATCGTGATATATTACATATATTTTTTTACGTCGTTTAGATATCAGATGTGTGTCAGTTTCACATGTAACTCTGACAGGATTACACAGTTTACAGTAGATGTTGTTATGTATAGTTCAACTGTTCCTCTGTAATTGCCTTTTTAACATTGGGTTGTTTTGGCTGTCATTTTCATTTGCAGTAACAGTTCACTAAGTTTGTTACAAATTCTAAATCTACTTAAGTTTGCCTGTACACACTTTTTGATGAATTCTTGAAAAGTATTTTATGAGTGACTACTAATAATACAACCCCTCAACTAATTTCACGTTTCTGCATAAAAAATTCTACCTCAATCTTCCTTAATATAAAACGTAATAACAAGATAAGATACTAGTATAATGGACAGGTTAGGCTCCTCGACGTACTCTTAATTATACCAAGCTGTTAAGAGATCACATTAACTCAGCGCTTGTTAGGGTGACACACGTTACATACAGTAATTGCAGCATAACAACATCGTTTCTCATCTCTGTAAGCAGCCACTCGGGGCCCCACACAAGAACAGTGCTGATTGATAAAAATGGAGATGGAACACGGGATTATAGAACTATCAAAATTCTTAATTATCCGTACACTTAAAATCACTCGACTTAATGCGTCACATCTGTGTCTCAAGGCCGGTAGAGCAGCACTGGCTAACTTTAACACCTTAACGACGCGTTCACTAGCTTAACCTCTTAACCAATTGCCAGTTTACTAGTCGGTCGGCTGTTACACATTCTTGACACGTCCTGGACATGTACTGCACGAGCTTTTTAATACACCTCAACAGATGCCTTTGTACGTCAAGTCAGAAATTACAAAGAACTCACACTTGTGGTACACCTCAGCCTTCATAGGAATGGACGTTGTAGTCGGCGCTGCCCGCTAACGTGGCCGTGGTCTCTTGATCATGGATGCAGCTGCCAGCCCGGTGTGTCGGGCCCTCCCTCCCCATCTCCTCCTTCCCATCTGGATTTATCAACATCCTCCACCAACAGTACAGTGCAAAGATTGACGATCATCCCAAATTGATATACAAAGTAGCAATTTCAACTCGAAGGAAAAGCACAAAATACAGCAATACTGATTGTGGCTGGGTCTGACCTAACATGACCTGACCTCACGGCTTCACCTGACTAACCTGAAGGATGGAGCACACCTGCATTGCCCAAGCTACTGTCTGTACGTGGCCTACCACACCTGCTTAACCGCATCCAGCCCATACGAGCACTGAACTGATTGCTACAAGAACAGCCCAGTCCCAACCATTGTAAACATTATCAACACCTAATTATTATATATCATATTTGTATCACTATTGCATTATTACATCAATTGTAAATCAAGAGAACAATTCCCGTTGTATGAATTATATATTTTCAGCCTTCCGGCTGCCATGCTCTTTCAATAAACCGTTAATTATTATTATTATTATTATTTATTGTTTGTCCAGTAAGGAGGCAAGACTCCTGGGCCGGTTAAGGTTTACATTTCCTGTTAAGCACTAATAGTACATACACAAAACTTTTAAAGGCCTTAATAGTACTGTTAAGTTAAAAGACCTCGGGAGCACTTTTAAGTCCCGTAATAGTAGTCTGTTAGTTGATACCCTGGCGACCCACCACCACAGCGGCGGCGGCAACACATTTATCGGGACAGGGAGATATATTGAATGAATATAGTGTGAATATATTGTGTATTCCCTCTTTATAGCTGAGATCTTCTTTCTTGACTTGGACAATACTGAGAAGCAGCGTGTCTCTCACTCTGACCTCACCACACCAGGACACGCAGCGTTGACTCTCATTGTGATTTCTAGCCACGCCCTCTTTGGTTATTTTTCGTTAACCACCCATCACCAGTTTTCACATGATTATTTTTTCTCGTAAGTTTTCTTGCTGTTTTAGGTGATTCTGACATTTATCTTTGGGGCAAATCACTTTTTTTAGTTAGGTTTGGGACGTGGCCTAACGTAACCTAACTAAAAAAAGTTGAGTTACAGACCCTGGCCACATCTAACCTCCTAAACTTGCGAGAAAAAAATCATGTGAAAACTGGTGATATGGTCTATCAAGAAAACGACGACTGCGTGCCCATAACATCAAATTGGGACTTAAAATCGTGATTTTTCAACTAATAAATCAGGAATATCCTTTTATTTTTGGAATGCGCCTTAATTCGTATATATTGTTTAGTTACTCGATGAGATCTACTAAATGGTAAGAAAATATTGTAAAGGTGAGGGGTTGATAACGAAAGTAACCTCCTCTTTGTCTTTATTATTAAGGAAAGTCTTCTAGCGGCCATTCAATGTTAACTTTTTCTTCAGTGGCCGCCACCAGTAATAAGGTCTGGTCTGGTATCCAGCTAGGCTTCCTTTGCTTTCATTGGGTTGAGGCTTCCAATAACACGGTTTGTTGACAAACAACACGGCAAGGATCACTCTCCTTGGTTAATAATCCTCCTTCAAACGGCATAGATTAGATTTTATTTTATTTTAATGATTAAAATGTAAAAGATATAAATATTATCATTAATCTTCACAATTTTATTGAGGTTATTCAGCCATAAGACCATTTTATATGATGAGCTCCTGCTATCTTGCTTGATGCCTTAACAAACAACTATTTGTTGCGGTAAAAGTTTGCTAGATTAAGCTTTGTTAATATGGCTTTAAATTGTACTGCTACCTAACAGTACGATTATGTCATAAGCAGAAAAGTTTTGTGTGTGACCCTAAACCATAGTTGGTTTACCACTTGTCATCATATACTGTCTTGTTCACGACTCCCTGCTAATATTTTACTAAACCTTAATGAACGTCTTGTTGCACTTTATACCTAATATCTGTCACCATGGCACTCTGTAACAGCGTCGGGTTAGGTGACAGTATTAGAAGTAGTAAACACAGCCGCAGGTGTCTTCTTCACCACACCTGTCATGAGGCTTCATTAGGCGTGTGTGACCAGTCCCAGCTGTGATATTATTATTGTTATTATTATTATTATTATTATTATTATTATTATTATTGTTGTTGTGTAGTACACCCACCTCGTATGAATCGTCAGTGTTTGCCAGTCAATATAAGTTTTGCTCTCAATTCTCGCTCGATCTGTCATTCAATTTACAGAGGCGATCTGATTAAAACAACAACAAATGTAACTGTTACTTCATTTATACCTGGTGAGTGACGGTGTCTTTTGTGAGATGTGCAACTCTTATATGTGATTTTTTACCTTTTCCGTATTTTTTCCGTGACTTTTCTGTGATCATTTCGGTGATTTTTTCCTTATGAATTTTTTCTGTTGAATTTTCGGTGGATTTTTTCTTGATTCTTTTTCCATGTGATTTTTTTTGATTTGATAACTCAACTCCTTGACTTCGTGATTTCTTTTATAACATTAGTCTCAACAGCTTTCTCATAAACCAGAATAGAATTTCCCTTCTAACTTAAAGAGGAGATTGGGGTGGGGTGGGGGATGCTGTTACAGGTAAATCGGACGTCCTCTCCTGACGTCTGAGGTACACTGACGATTCTGATCTATTCTTTTGGGTAGTGTTATGGATGAATGGTGTAGGGAGGGGCGTTGCCAACCCTGACATAATATACGACCGTAGAATACACACACCCCCCCTCCCCCGCCACACACATACGATCGACTGTATATCCAGACGATAGCAGTACTGATGTTGTCATTTATCTTAGAGGTTAATTCACCTGTATCTTAGTTCTTCTTTAGGAAATGTATGGTCGTGTATATTGCCTTCTCGTCTGAGACAACAAGGAATTCCCACTCAAACACTACACAGTTAGCGGGCATTATGTATCAAGGACACCAGTGTTTTTGGGTCAGGTGTGGACAGACCTCCTCTTCTGTACACCTTCTGATATAACACAACACAGGGAGAGAATAACTACACTCAGGTCATTAAAACAATATTCTCGCCGTTATATTTTCTTTACTTTGTCATTTTACAAAGATGTATAGAAAAAATATATCTCTTGTAATAGATTTTAATAGATACTAAAACAATATTCTCATTCTTGTCATACCATGAGAGAAGGGTTGAGAAGTTACAATTAATGAACATAACCTACATGACTACAACTGCAGTACACACAGAGACGAGACATTTTGGCAGACGTGTTGAGAAGGCAACAGTCACATACAGTAGCCGCCCTCAGACCTTAATGTAATGTAAACAATCTTCATAGGATTGTTGAGACAGGTGAAGACAGGTGAGAGACATTGGGAGAGAGACTGATACAGGAGAAAAATGTCTAGGAAGGAAACAAACAGAGACATGGGTGAGAGCGAGAGAAGGTTGTAGTGAGGAGGAGGTTATGAGGACGTATAATCTATCCATTACTTACCACCACAACCAGTATCATGCAAACTTTAATGCTACTAAAACTATCATTCATTAAACAGTGAATTGCTACTACCAACCAAACAGGTGGAGGAAGAATTGAACAGTAATTTCTCCAGGTCGATGAGAAGCTGTTTCTCATTGGTCGTGGTGATTAGGACAACACAGCGAGTTACACTCAACGTTAACACGAGTAAATGACAAAGCAATATTTAGTGATGGGACACAGGTAAGGTGGTGATGGGACACAGGTAAGGTAGTGATGGGACACAGGTAAGGTGTAGTGATGTGACTGAGTAGGAGTGGTGATGGGACACAGGTAAGGTGATGGGCACAGGTAAGGTGGTGATGGGACTCGGTAAGATGAGTGATGGGACACAGGTAAGGTAGTGATGGGACACAGGTAAGGTAGTGATGGGACACAGGTAGGTAGTGATGGGACACAGGTAAAGGTGGTGATGGGACACAGGTAAAGTGAGTGATGGGACACAGGTAAAGGTGGTGATGGGACACAGGTAAGGTAGTGATGGGACACAGGTAAGGTGGTGATGGGACTGGGTAAGGTGGTGATGGGACACAGGTAAAGGTGGTGATGGGACACAGATGAGGTAGTGATGGGACACAGGTAGGTGGTGATGGGACACAGATGAGTGGTGATGTACTGGGTAAGGTGGTGATGGGACACAGGTAAAGATGTGATGGGACACAGGTGGGTGAGTGATGGGACACAGGTGGTGGTGGATGGGACACAGGTAGGTAGTGATGGGACACAGGTAAGGTAGTGATGGGACACGGTAAGGTAGTGATGGGACAGGTAGGTAGTGATGGGGACTGGAGTAAAGGTGGTGATGGGACACTAGATGAAGGTAGTGATGGGACACAGGTAAAGGTGGTGATGGGCCTGGGTAAGAGGTGATGGGACAGGGTAAGGTAGTGATGGGACACAGGTAGGTGGTGATGGGACACAGGTAAAGGTGATGGGACACAGGTAAAGGAGTGATGGGCCACAGGTGTGGAGTGGTGATGGGCCACAGGTGGGTGGTGATGGGACACAGGTAAGGTAGTGATGGGACACAGGTAGGGTGGTGATGGGACGACAGGTAAGGTAGTGATGGGACACAGGTAAGGTGGTGATGGGACACAGGTAAGGTGGTGATGGGACACAGGTAAGTGGTGATGGGACTGGGTGGGTGGTGATGGGTTGGACACAGGTAGGGTGGTGAGTGGGACTGGTGGTGTTGAGTGGGACACAGGTGGGGTGGTGATGGGACACCCAGGTGGGTAGTGGGACGCAGTAAGGTGGTGATGGGACACAGGTAAGGTGGAGTGGGACACAGGTAGGGTGTGATGGGACTGGGATAGGGTAGTGATGGGACACAGGTGAGGTGGTGATGGGACTGGGTAAGGTGGTGATGGGACACGGGCAAGGTGGTGATGGGACACAGGTGTGGTGGTGATGGGCCACAGGTAGGGTGGTGATGGGACACAGGTAAGGTGGTGATGGGACTGGGGTAGGGTGAGTGATGGGACACAGGTAAGTGGTGATGGGACACAGGTAAGGTGGTGATGGGACAAGGGTGGGTGGTGATGGGCTGGTGAGTGATGGGACACAGGTAAGGTGGTGATGGGACACAGGGCAAAGGGTGATGATGGGTCAGGTGGTGGTGTTGGGTTTAAGGTGATGGGACACAGGTAAGGTGATGATGGGACTGGAGTGTGGCACAGGTAAGGTGTGAATGGGACACAGGTAAGGTAGTGATGGGACACGGGTAAGGTGGTGATGGGACAGGTAAGGTGGTGATGGGACTGGGTAAGGTGGTGATGGCCTGGTGGTGGTGGTGGGACACAGGTAAGGTGGTGATGGGACATTTAAGGTGGTGAGTGGGCCTGGGTAAGGTGGTGATGGGACACAGGTAGGTAGTGATGGGACACAGGTGGGTGGTGATGGGACACAGGTAAGGTGATGGTGGGACACAGGTAAAGGTGATGGGACACAGGTAAGGTGGTGATGGGACACAGGTAAAGGTGGTGATGGGCCAGGGTAAGGTGGTGATGGGCCTGAGTAAGGTGGTGATGGGACTACAGGTAAGGTGATGATGTGCCACAGTGGGCAGTGATGGGACACAGGTGGTAAGGTGGTGATGGGACACAGGTAAGGTGGTGATGGGACACAGGTGGGTGGTGATGGGACACAGGTAGGTGATGGGACACAGGTAAAGGTGGTGATGGGACACAGGTGTAAGGTAGTGATGGGACACAGGTAAGGTGAGTGATGGGACACAGGTAAGGTAGTGATGGACTTGCAAGTTAAGACAGTGGGTGGGCCACAGGTAAGGTGGTGATGGGACACAGGTAGGGTGATGGGACTGGGTAAAGGTAGTGATGGGACACAGGGTAAGGTAGTGATGGGACTGAGTAAGGTATTGATGGGCCACAGGTAGGTGATGATGGGGACACAGGTAAAGGTAGTGATGGGACACAGGTAAGGTAGTGATGGGACACAGGTGAGGTGGTGATGGGACACAGGTGCAAGGTGGTGATGGGACCTGAGTAGGGTGGTGATGGGCCACAGGTAAGGTGGTGATGGGACAGGTAAGGTAGTGATGGGACACAGGTAAGGTAGTAATGTGACTGGGTGAGTGGTGATGGGACACAGGTAAGGTGGTGATGGGACACGGGTAGAATTGGTGATGGGCCACAGGTAAGGTGGTGATGGGACACAGGTAAGGTGTGATGGGACCTGGGTAAAGGTGGTGATGGTGGGCAGGTAAAGGTAGTGATGGGACACAGGTAAGTGGTGATGGGACACAGTGAGTGGTGATGGGCCTGGTAGGGTAGTGATGGGACACAGGTAAAGGAGTAGTGATGGGACACAGGTAAGGTAGTGATGGGACACAGGTAAAGATGGTGATGGGACTGGGTAAGGTAGTGATGGGACACGGGTAAGGTGGTGATGGAATGGAGTGGGTGGTGATGGGACTGGGTAAGGTAGTGATGGGACACAGGTAGGGTGTGATGGGCCACAGGTAAGGTGATGGGCACAGGTATGGTGGTGATGGGACACGGTGGAGTGATGATGGGACACAGGTAAGGAGTGGTGATGGGCCTGGGTAAGGTAGTGATGGGACTGGGAAGGTAGTGATGGGACACAGGTAAGGTGGTGATGGGACACGGAGTGCAAGGTGGTGGGCCACAGGTAAGGAGGATGGGACACAGGTAAAGGTGGTGATGGGACAGGGTGGGTGGTGATGGGACACAGGTAAGGTAGTGATGGGACACAGGTGGTGGTGATGGGACACAGGTAAGGTGGTGATGGGACTGGGTAAGGTGGTGATGGGCTGGTGGAGTGGTGATGGGACATGAGTAAGGTAGTGATGGGACTGCAGGGAGTGGTGATGGGACAGGGTAAAGATGATGATGGGACACAGGTAAGGTAGTGATGGGACACAGGTAAGGTAGTGATGGGACACAGGTAAAGGTAGTGGAGTGGGACTGGATGGGGTGGTGATGGGACACAGGTAAGGTAGTGATGGGACACAGGTAAGGTAGTGATGGGACACAGGGTAGTGATGGGACACAGGTGTAGTGATGGGACACAGGTAAGAAAGGATGGGACACAGGTAAGGTAGTGATGGGACACAGGTAGGGTAGGATGGGACACAGGTATGTAGTGATGGGACACAGGTAAGGATGGGACAGGTGGAGAGTGATGGGACACAGGTAAGAACAAGATTCTGTCATGCGAGGGGACAACCAGGTAAGAGGCGCTACCCCGAGGGGGCGGCGCGCAGCAGCGTCAGGAGACAACTGGGACTTAAAGTGTGAAGGTACTGTTTGTTTATTACTGTTGTGGAGTCGGGGACCTCCGGGTCTTGGACACGCGGGCAGTGCCTGACGGCATCCTTCGTTGTGTTTTGGCTGAAAACTGGCGCCAACAGATACGATCTGCACTGTTCAGGAGCCTCGGGTTTAGAGTCGACCTGTTTTATAGGCTGTTCGAGTGACTCCGGAGGTGTTGGTGGAAGACTGTATTCCCCGGTGTTGGAGGAGTCAGGTTCTGGTTCCAGATGATCTGTAGCAGGTGCCGCCTCGCTGTCGTCACCCAGCGTCCGGAACTCTGGATGAAAGGGTCAGGGGGAGGGACCCAGCTGGTTCAACAAGACGGGTCAACTTTACTGAGGGCAGGAAAAGGCTCTGCGGGGTCCCGGTCAGAAAATATTGATTTGAGGTTTTGGAGTGAAGAGAACGAGGCCCAGAAGCTGGGTCTGTGAGGCTGGTGGCTGTCGGGTCCCAGCAGGCGAGGTCGTGCATGGTCAGCGAGCGCACGGTCGCATATGGTCCGGGGGGTCGGCGGCGTCGTGTAAGTGGTCGTGTACATGGTCCTGGGAACGCGCATGGTCCTGGAAAGGTCGTGCACATGGTCCTGGGAGGTCGTGCGATGGTCGTGTGTGGTCGCGCATGGTCCTGGAAAGGGTCGCACATGGTCGTGCATGTTCGTGTGGTGGTCGTGCGCAGGTTCTGAAGGGCGCGCATGGCCCTGGAGAAGGTCGTGCACATGGTCGGTAAGGGGCATGGGGCGGGAGTGCCGGCGGAGGTGGTCGTGTCAGTTTTCACTGTCGTGTGGAGGTGGTGACCAGCGGCATGATCGCCCCTCGATCCTGGTGGAAGGCATAGAGGAAGTGGTCCCGCCGGCGCCACCTCAGTGTCTCACAGGCTGAGGCGCCGCTGTAAGGCACGACGTAGTTGATGAACACTCGTGACGACGACTCGCCCACTGTTCCCCAGACGGGGGTCCTCAAGTCAACTTATCAAGAGTGGCGGTGGCGGGGCCGGTTGCGGGCGGGGTTGGTGGTCGGTGGCGGGCTGGGGGTAGATGGCCACCATCGTCACCGCCACCTGTAGGAGGTCAGACATAGGTCTTCATGATATTAACACAGTGAGAGTTGTGATGTTGTATGGAGGCCACAACACAACAAATAGAACCTCTTGTTATGTCTTAAAGCAAGTGTCTCGTCATTATTCTAGTTGTAACTTAACCAAAGTTGTAGGTTCACCCAAATGCCTCACACGGTGTATATGTTACCAATGAAGAAACAATGTTAACAAGATAGTGTTTACTCTTTTATACCTGTCATGTTTTATTGTGTGTCTTAGTCTGTGTATTCATACATGAATTGTTCAAGTGACTCGAGTTAATGATAATGACTTCAGAATGTCACAGTTGAATGACTTACAGGTGAGGGTGAGTCCAGCCTCTAATCCCACACTGACCTCTACCGGAGGTCACACTGATCATGGCTGATACTGACCTTAACTCAAGGAGGTCACATCTTCATGAGACACTGACTTACTCAAGGTCACACTTGGTCATGACTTACACTGATTTTTACCAAGAGGTCAAACAGGGCATGACTCACACTTGGTTGTGGTGGGAGAGGCTCTGACCACAGAGACCTTGTTCACCACAGGGATGACTTATGACTGGTCACGGCTGACCTTCCATCACCCGGTATTCTCTTCTCAGGTCAACACAACAACTGACCTTGTGCGTGCCTAACATTAATACGTGTCCGAGAGTTCGCTGTGCAGTGTGGTGTTGAAGATGTGCATACAGTATGTGGTGTTGGTATACAGGCGTGTGCTGGTATACAGTATGTGTGCTGGTATGCGTGGTGTTGGTATAGTGGAATACAGATGTGGTGCTGGTATCGATGTCAGACAGTCAGGGATGTGGTGTTGGTATACAGTATGTGGTGCCGGTATACAGTATGGTGTGGTATACAGTATGTGTGCTATACAGTATGGTGTTGGTATACGGGTGGTGTGTTGCATACAGTATGTGTGTTGGTATACAGGTAGCTGGTATACAGTATGTGGTGTTGCATACAGGTATGTGTGCATAACAGTATGTGTGCTGGTATACAGTATGTGTGCTGTTGTAGTATGTGTTGGTATACAGTGGTGCTGGTAACAGTATGTGGTGCTGGTATGCAGTGTGCTGGTATACAGTATGTGGTGCTGGCATAGCATGTGGTGCTGCATACAGCATGTGTGCTGCGTGTGCTGGTATACAGTATGTGGTGCTGGTATACAGTATGTGGTATAGTGGTGTTACATGTGTGTTGGACACAGCATGTGGTGTTGGGTATACAGTATGTGGTGTTGGCATACAGTATGTGGTGCTGGCATACAGCATGTGGTGCTGGCATACAGCATGTGGTGCTGGTATGCTGGTGGTGCTGGGTCAGAGCATACAGTATGTGTGTGGCATACAGTATGTGTATACACAGTATGTGGTGCTGGTATACAGTATGTGGTGCTGTACAGTATGGTGCTGGTATACAGTATGTGGTGTTGGGACACAGGTATGTGGTGCTGGTATACACAGTATGGTGTGTGGTATACAGCATGTTGTTGGTATACAGTGTGGTGCTGGTATATGAGTGCTGGGTACAGTATGTGGTGCTGGTATACAGTATGTGGCTGGGTGTGTGGTATACAGTATGTGGTGCTGGTATACAGCATGTGGTGCTGGTACAGGCGTGGTGTGCTGGTGACAGGTATGTGGTGCTGTATACAGTATGTGGTGCTGGTATATGAGTATGTGGTGCTGGTATATTAAGTATGTGGTGTTGGTGATACAGTATGTGTGCTGGCAGTCTTGGTGCTGGCATACAGTGGTGCTGTATACAGCATGTGGGTGCTGGTATACAGCATGTGTGTGCTGGCACAGCATGTGGTGCTGGTAGCATACAGCATGTGGTGCTGGGGAGACACAGTATGTGGTGCTGGCATACAGTATGTGTGCTGGTACATACGCATGTGTTGGTGGTGTTGGCATACAGCATGTGGTGTGTGGTATACAGTATTGGTGTTGCTATGCATGTGTGCTGGGTTAAGTATGGTTCTGGTATACAGCATGTGGACAGATGTGGTGCTGGTATACAGTATGTGGTGCTGGTACACAGTGGCTGCATACAGTATGTGCTGCTGGCATACAGCATGTGGTGCTGTAGACAGTATGTGGTGCTGGGTAGCTATGGCGTGGTGCCGGCACAGTATGTGGTGTTGGCATACAGCATGTGGTGTGTTGGCATATGGGGTATATGGTGTTGGACAGCATGTGGTGTTGGTATACAGCATGCAGACACAGTATGTGGTGCTGGCATACAGTGTGGTGCTGGTATACAGCATGTGTGTGCTGGCATGTGGTGCTGGCATACAGTATGTGGTGCTGGTATACATATGTGTATACAGCATGTGTGCTGGTATATGTATGTGTGTTGATACACATATGTGGTGCTGGTATACAGGCATGTGTGTGCTGGTATACAGTATGTGGTGCTGGCATACAGTGTGGTGTACAGTAGCAGTGCAAGGTGATACAGTATGTGTGTGTGTTGGCATACAGTATGTGGTGCTGGTATACAGTATGGTGCTGGTATACAGTGGTGTGCTGGTATGCAGGTGGTATACAGTGTGGGTGTTGGTATACAGTATGGTGGTTGCATATGTGTAGGTACAGCATGTGAAAGGGTACAGTGTGTGCTGGTATACAGTATGTGGTGCTGGTGACAGTATGTGGTGCTGGTATACAGTTGGCAGGCTGGTATACAGTATGGTGTTGCTGGTATGGTGTTGGTATACAGTATGGTGTTGGTATATATGTGTGTGTGTGCTGGTATACAGCATGTAGGTGATCACAGCATGTGGTGTGTTGGTATGCATGTGTGTACATACAGTATGTGGTGTTGTATACAGTATGTGTGGGTATATGCATGTGGTGCTGGTACAGCATGTGTGTTGGTCATACATGTGTGTTGGTATACAGTATGTGTGCTGGTATTATTGGTATGTGGTGTTGGTATACAGTATGTGGTGTTGGTATACAGTATGTAGGTGTTGGGTATACAGTATGTGTGCTGGTATGCTGCATGTGGTGCTGGTAACAGCATGGTTGGTATGCAGGTGCTGGTATACAGTATGTGTGCTGGTATACAGTATGTGTGCTGGTATACAGTATGTGGTGCTGGTATACAGGTATGTGGTGTCTGGTATACAGTATGTGCTGAGACATGTGCATGGGTGTTGGTATACAGTATGTGTGCTGTATACAGTATGTGTTGGCATGCAGTGTGTGTGTAGGTATATGTATGTAGGGTATACAGTATGTGGTGTTGCATATGTATGTGGTGCTGGTATACAGCTATGTGGTGTTGGTATACAGATGTGCAGCTGGCATACAGTATGTGGTGGCAGTATACAGTGTGGTGTTGGTATACAGTATGGTGTTGGTATACAGGCGTGATGTTGGTATACAGTATGTGGTGTTGGTATACAGTATGTGGTGTTGGTATACAGTATATGGTGCTGGTATACAGTATGTGGTGTTGGTATACAGTATGTGTGTTGGTATACGTATGTGGTGCTGATATACACAGTATGTGGTGTGGTATACAGTATGTGGTGTTGGACAGCATGTGGTGTGCTGGTGTACATGTGGTATACATATGTGTGCTACAGTATGTGTTGGCATACATATGTGGTGTTG